TATTAAGTCCAACCATGTCATTGATACCTATAAAATGATTTTCTTCGTTGATCAGTTACATTATATATATATATATATATATATATATATATATATATATATATATATATATATATATATATATATATATATATTTAATGTCAAGCGAAGATGGATGATGACGAGCAGTGGAATCCAGGACGCACATTTCATCCCATTTATTACTCGTCAGCTGGATGTACCCGACTAGCCACCATCCACCTCTGCTTATAATGCTCATGACTTATGTCAATATAGAAGCATGTCAATATGAGACTGATCAATTTCTGTCCTAAACATCAATGTGAAGATTCAAACAACTGAAACAAAATGAATTACTAATTAATTCTATTCACAAACCGTCCGGTATGTATCAGTTATCACTAAATCTCAAGAAAGAATAGGCTAGACTTGTTTAATACTTAATAAAATGTAATGAAGTACTAAAACATGTAAAAATAAACGTAATGAAATTTATAACACTACTCGTAATTAGATTAGTGAGTAGTATAATTAAGGTAGCTTTTAGTGGATATTTAATGATAGTCCTGTAATGAATGCTTTGAACCCTTCTCCCCGAAATATCTGATTTGATAGTGCTTTGGTTTGAGCACCCAGGAAGTATCATAACCCACATACAAATCAAGTGACTTGTGTGACGCATATGTATGCGTTGCCCCTTTTGTACCATTATTTATGTTCATTTGAGGTTAATGTGACGACATCAAGCAATTATTTATTGTTGTTCTTTAAATGACTGCTGGAAGTGTTTGTTGTTTGGTTTGACACTTTCAGAGAGATATTTTGATCCCATTTCGTAGAGAAGATAATTATAAAGTCTCAGGTAATTCACTATTGTAATAACTAACCATTTTGCTATGTATATTTGTTATATATAAAGCCTAGATTCTGAATATACCACGTATAGGTTGAACACTCGAACGCCAGAACCCTCCAAGTCTCAAATAAAAAGACAGAAGACTGGAGAAAGTGCTTGTTGTGTAACAGTGAAAATGTACAGAAAATCAAGGGTATTTATTGACATTAGCGTTTGTTATAGCAACATTATAATTCAACCAATCCGCAACGTGGTATGTTATGTTACTGTCCAATAGTAGCATTCCACGTTCATATTTTAGAAAGTTCCATTACGTTATGAGTGGATAGAACGTTTTGGTTCCTCTAGGGCCTCTTGAGGCTCCGTCGTAGTTCTCAGAAGCCATCCCAATAATAATACGTTATCTTGTGGCAAATAAACATTTGACCATATGGTAAGTGAACAGAATTCTTAAGGATGCAAATAGCATTTGTGCACAAAATTTGTGCTTTGATATAATCTTTGAGTTCAAATGACTCAAGAAAGCTTAATACATTATACAGAAGACCACAGCAGTTTGACTAGATAGAATGAACTTTGGTTTGTTTGATCGTTTTCTGAGTTCAGATCAAATATTGAATTTGGATCGTTACAAGGCCAATAAACTCTTGATTTAGTCAATACGGATAATGGATTAATGCTCACTGATGATATTGCATAATCATGTTAACGATATATCACAAGTTCATCAGAAGTTGATAAATATGGGTCATAAATTTCTATAGAATAAGTGAATTTCACTTAACTCTGGAATCCACAAAGTCTGTTTCATCTTTCTTGGAACGTGTCAGCCAGATATGATTCCATCCTACCATATGTATTAAGACTTTGACACCAAAGCATTATCCACAAATTTATTGCATCTAGTACATTAGAATACAAATACATCCAGCTGAAGAGGTCATGATGGGACAAAATGCATGCTATGGGTTCTATTAACAGCCAAAATTGATCTATTCTGTAAAAATCCTAACAAAATTACTAGATCTGGATAATTTGCACCGGATATTCATATACGAAAAAAAGACTGCTCAAAATTAAGTCTTGAGTATCCACAACCGTATAATTCAAACTGTGAGTAATAATGAAATGATGACGAACTTTCGTCACTGAAGGTGACTGAATGATACTGACTATAGAAGAAGACATTCATAGAATAAAATTTTCGATAAGTAGATTAGTTCAGGACTTCAGTGAATTTCAACAATCTCCATAACACCTTACTAACAACTATCATGCTCTCACTAGTGACTAGCTTCGAAAGAAAATTCCCGGAATTCTTGTTAGAAGCTGTGACCAGGGGAGTACAACCGTGTTGGATATGAAACAGTTACCCACTGAAGACAATGAAAGATGGTCGCGCAACATCGTGTATTGGTTGAAGTTAGACATCTACACCGTTCAACACCTACTGATTAGTCTATAGATTAAGTGTTCGCAGAAAAAACTGAAATCCCCTCGTTCGCTCTAAGCATGCGGGGTGGTTGATGAGCGTTTCTGAGGAACCTAGTGCTAGGACGAAACGGGCTTTCAGTGCTTCCAAGTTTTAAATGGTTGTCTAACATAAATCGGTTCATAATTTCAATGAAATTCAACAATCTCGGCAACTCTATACTTTCAATATACAAAGCTATTATTATTATCATTATCATTATTGTGATTTATGGTTTCTTGTGAGTAATTGTCTAGTCATTGGTTCTGTGTGCAAACGTATTGATTATAACAGTATATGAGATTTGTTGCTAGAAATAGCTCTGAAGACCTGAGTGTGGAATTTATAAAACGCTTAAACCTGACAGAGATCCATGCCGTTTTACTGGAAAACATCAGAAAAATATGTATTCAGTTACTCTAATATGTCATTATCACTTGGTCCTAAAGTTAGGGTAAACGCTGACTATGTAGTAGTAGTAGTAGTAGTAGTAGTAGTAGTAGTAGTAGTAGTAGTAGTAGTAGTAGTAGTATTTTATAGAAATTTACGAATTTATTGATCATTTTCCAAAACTACTCTACAGTATAAATAATCATATGCTCATTAGTAAATAATGTGTAGTGGTAATTCCTGTAATTCTAGTAAGAAGACGTTTTCAGTGGATTTCAGCTGTATTGCATGTGAGACAATTACCGACCGATGACGTCGGCTGATTAACTGTAGTTAATTATATGCATTATTAGATCACTTAATTTGTCTGTGGGCTGTGATACAGTCCGTGTGCCTAAACCGAAACAGATGGTTTTCTTAGAGGGCCACGCCTAGAGCATTCGACCTCAAGGTCTAATGCACAAAGCAGTGGAGCATCGTAAGGAGATGCAGTCCCATGTTAGCCGGTGACCAACGATTGGTTCATACTCCATTTGTTCCTTCGAGATACTGGAGCTCATGTGTACTATTGGTTTAAAATCAGGGTTTTCCAACTCCTTCAGGTGGATTCGCCATATCCACCAACACGTTTAAAGCGACGGAAGTACGATTTCGTCCTCAATTTCGTCAACAACACCCGCACCATGAGAAGGCAGTGAACATGACTTCATTTTCAGTGGCTGTATATAAGTGGCTTTGTGAGAGCGGAATCTCTACACCCTTGGCTGTACCAGGTTATTTGAGGGCAAAGTTTGACACTCAACTCTCTAACTACATATCATAGTCTATTTTTAATTACCTCAACTTCAATTATTTTACTGGCTTATATTACGCAAGTCATGATAATAATTTTATCGTAGAATAAAATAAATCTATAGACTTCGCCCTTGGAACCTTGGGTCACTTGCTTTTAGTCTAATCACTCTTCAAACGATCTATTTGGCATAGTAGAACCTTGAGGAACAATTATTCCAGTCACTATAGCTCGATTGATTCATTATGATAGGCAAGCCTGACCACTACAATAAGATAGCAACAACGATCGGGATAGACATAATCTAATACAACAGTTAGATTATAAATGATAGTAGTATATTTGGCATGTAAATCTATGAAAATTTAACTTGAAAAAGAAAACAAGCAAATAAAATCGAAACTGAAAACTGAACAAATAAATCATTCGAAAAAATAAATCCAGGTAAACGAAATATCATTTGAGCAGGGGTGTTTTTTGTTGTTAATGATGATGGAATGTATAAAAAGAGAATAGAACATTTTCAATTTGAGATTATGGAGACTATGAAGTTTTTGATTGAGATTATAAATCACCAATGAAAAACCTGGAAGTACTGAATGATTGTTTCGTCCTGTTATAGGACTCTTCAGCTATGAGCATCCATGATCCTTCACTAAAAGGATTCGAACCCAGGAACTTTGATCTCACTTACTGTTCTCTTTCTCTCCACCCCCCTCTCTCTCTGTCGATATATGTATACATATATGTATTTGTGTATATACACATTCATGTTATTTCGTTACATGAATATAATTCCCAAATATACATACACACAAAGGAATAGTGATAACCTTGGTTACAAGAGATCATTATAAGGAGACTCATATATAGACATGTACTCATGTAATTTATTCATCTATATCTTCATGTATATAAATGTATTATGTAATCTATTCGATTAAAATATTTCATTAAAACAAGTGGTTACAAGAATGTAGATATGTCTATATATATATATGTCTATCCATCATTCATTTATGTCAGTCATCCTAATACATACATACTTATACTCATAGATATGTGTGTATGTGTATTACATGTAGATTGTACATATACATGTACGTGCACACACACACACACACAAAACTAACCACATACATTCAAATCCAATTATACTTATTTCACATAAGTAGTCTTTAATGATTCTGATCAAATTTATATTTGCCATTATCATCATTTCTATTATTTTATAATGTCAAACTTATACAATATAAATTACATTTTTAATATTTAAACAACAAACAAACAAGCAAACAAAAAGAGCACCAAAAAAATACCCCAATTTCTTTTGTTGCTAAGTTAGCAACAATAAAATAGAATTTTACCGAATTGTTATAAAACGTCTATATGTATATGAATGATATAATATAATTTTTTTTGTGTGTGTGGTTGTGTGATGTGTCATTTTGTATACAATTTTCAAATGTCAATTATGAGATCATAAAAGAAAAATACCAAAAAAAAACTACATTTGATCCTGATTTAAAGTAAGTTCATTATTGATTGAATAATTTATGTTATTTTAAATATTATGTTGCTATGGGTAACCTTTTGGGACCCCTCTTAGCTCATGTATTTATGTCATATGTAGAAAATATGACGAGTGAACTCATTAATGAGGTAACTTTGTATAGAAGATACATGGATGATATACTAGTTGTATGTGTGATAAAGATTTTGAAGTTTTTCGGTTATTAGATGTTAGGACCCGATAAACATAATGAATGGTAACTATGGGATCCATTTATGGATCCATATTATGAGTATATTTTTATCGTGTAATTGTTATGTAATTAAACTGTTCATATTCATGTCCCTTTTATTATGAGTTTTATTTTGACCTATGAACCATTATTATACGATTTACCATTATTGAGTTATACACAGTATATTAATGACTACCTCCCACATTCACAGCCACATGTGGCTAATTCTTGTACTAATGTTGTTTCCTATTTTATGGTACGATGTGATCTGTTTGATTGATATATAAACTCAGTATGTTTGAAATATAAGGATTCATATTGCAGAGTCTGAGACTTGTGTTCTGAACTTAACTGACTGGGCTAAGAGGAAAGCAGGATCGATGAGGACTCTAGACTGCTCATACGGGTTTATGTGTCTTTGATCCGATCGATAAGTCACTGCATATTAATCGGTGGTCACAAGTTCTAACATTAGCTAAACTCAATGCAATTCTAAACGATGTCGTGTTGACTTATGAAGCAGAAAATAATGGCCAGTTGACCTTTTTAGACATACTTTTGAGTCGGAGGAAGGGTGGTACTATAAGATGGTCAGTTTATAAGAAACCAACTTGCATAGGGCAATACTTAAATTTCCATAGTTTCTGTCCATTACAATACAAGCAAGGCTTGATTAAGTGTCTCTTTAATAGGATTCAAAGAATTTGCACTACTGACACGGTTGGAAAAGATGAAAAGTTACTGACTGACACATTAATTAAGAAAGATTAGTTCAGCGAGGAGTTATCTTTCCGGCGAATAGACTCTTCGTTGAACTAATCTTTCTTATTTAATGTCTTAATGGGTGTATTCAGTTTACTTAAACATTCCAATGACACATTAATATCAAATGGTTATCCACTAAAGTTTATTAAATTATTCAGTTCCAATGAAAAAAAAGTTTATAGAGATGAATCCAATAGTTTAGTTTTAAGACAGAGATTGAAAGCAACCATCGAGAATACTTATTATGCTGCTCAATTGGTTGTGATTGAAAAGTCTAAGTCCATGATTCCAAACAGACCTAGACAATGCACAAATGATTACGTCACATCCCATTGTATTTACCAATTAACATATTTGTGTGGATACATATACATATGGAGGAGGAGTTATCGAACAATGCAATCACGAGTCATTGAACATGTGTTTAAATGGCTTCAATACGAATTAGTGTCAAATGATCCGATCAACAAGGGGAGGTAGAAAACCATGTTCAACGATAACGATATATATAATTGAAACAGGGCACAATATTGACATTAATACAACTTTTAAAACGTTGTATAGAAATTATCAGAAGGGGTTTGTGGAGATTTTAGAAATTTTCACAGATTGAAATCATGAGTCAGTTGAAGCTAGACCACCATTGAAAACCTGGAAGCACTAGTGGGAAGCCGTTACCAGTGGAGTTCAACCAGGTCTGTTGTGAGATATCAGCTCACTGAAGACAATGGTATATGGTGGCGCGACTTCGTGGATTGGTTGAAGTTAGACGTTAACACCGTTAGATGCCGGCTCAGTGGTCTAATGGTTAATTGCTAGCGCGCGAAGCCAGTAGGTCCTGGGTTTGAATCCCGCGGGGTGCGGGATCGTGGATGCGCACTGCTGAGGAGTCCCGTACTAGGACGAAACGGCCGTCCAGTGCTTCCAGGTTTTCAATGGTGGTTTAGCTTCAACTGACTCGTGATTTCAATCTGTATAGAAATAGTCAAAGACTAATTCTCAAGTCTATTGAAGCCTTGACTATTCATAAATTTACCCCCCCCCCCTTATATATACAAAAACAATTTGTCATAACCTTGAATTTACCCTGGTAATCCTTAAGTCATTCTATGACCTAGGATAACGCAATAATTTCTTATTGTTTCTATATGATGTAAAATTGTTTCTCTCCCCTTTGTTACCCTTTCTTTTACTTGAACTTTCATTTAATTGACCTTTATTAATTTTTATATAAAAATACCCTGACAAGTGTACATATGTGATCAGTTTGTTCGGAATGTATAACGTAAATACCATCACCAATTTTCAGATCAACTCCATCTTCTCATTGTTCTATCGAAGTTTATTTTGAATAAGTAATAAATATTATCAGTATGGGGTTGTGGATATTGTTAAGTTGTTGTTTTTGTGTTTGTTTGTTGTTGATTGAGATCATGAATCGATTGATGTTAGACCGCTATTGAAAAACCTGGAAGTACTGGACGGTCATTTGTGAATCAAAGACTTTACAATCTCCCTAACCTTATTAGTGATTGACTTCAATATGATTTTCTAGAGTTCTAGTGAAAAGCCATGATCAGTGGAGTTTAATCCGTGTTGGGTAGAAACAATTATCTACCTTGGACAATGAATGAATGATTGCGTAGCCATTCACGAATCAATAGAAGTTAGACAATAACACCGTTGAATTCCGGCTCAGTGATCTAGAGTATAAGCGTTTTTATGCGAGACTGAAGATCCTGAGTATGAATCTCGCGAGTGGGGCAATGGATACACAATGCTAAGGAGTCTCATATTAGGACGAAATAACTGTTCACTGCTTCCAGGTTTCCGATTATGGTCTAATATCAATCGATTCATGATCTTAATTTAAAAATAAATAAACTGATTATGGAATATGTACTTCTATATGAATGGTTTCCTATTGTAATAATTAAGGTTTATTCATGTAAATGAATGAAATCCGTTGGAATTATTCATTGAAGTTGTATCATCATAGAAATAAGGATCTAGTAATGATATTGAATTTGTTGAAGTATAAAGAAGAGGATATTTTATGAAATATTCGAAGATTTGACAGATTACAGGAATGTAGTATAGTGTTCTAGAAATCAAAAGGGAAACTATTAAGATGGAAACATTTCCCTTGTTATAGTTAATTAGTTATATAATATATATACCCTTGTGGGTCAGAGTAATTTTACATTGGTTTACATTAGAACCAAACATCAAGCACCCTGATGAACCATTCACATCATTCATATACATATTCACATCACATGTATAGTTATTCCAATCAATGATCAAGTGAATCAATTATGCAGAGCACAAACAGGTCAAAGTTAACCTAATCAAACTCATTAATGTTAGCAACGGCGACATGCCTTACAATGTCACAATGACGATGGTCCTTGATAACATTGAAAAGCAACCACTAATAAGAATTCAATCAGTTAACCAGCAAACCAATTTTGTGCATGAACAGTCAGCGAAACTTGCCAAAGCAATACCGAACCATCCACAATACCAATGGAAAACCTCCAGTCTCATATGAGACCTTCAGCTCTACATAGCCATATAGGTTCCCTTGTTAGAAGAAGAAAAATACAAAGTAGTACATAGCTCAATACACGATTTTCTTTTTGATCGTTTGTTTTTCTCTGAGCTCGATGATTTGGTTGTGGAGTTTTCATCGTTCTTCTGAACGACATCATCAGCACAAACTTCAAATGGAAGTCTACCACCATCTCAACACGAATATCTCATTGATTCTAGACAAACTGTCTTAAAATATTAATCCTTCAAAATACCTTACATGATCAAATAAATTAGTTCAAAGTAAGCACGAACTAAAAGTTTAAAGGTTTCATTAATACAAGCAGTTCAAGATTGAACTCCAATTATAAACAGAAAATATAGAATCCTAATTGTTTTGTAGCTCTATCAATTCTAATTTATATCAGAAGGGTTTTTGTAGATATTATAGTAATTTCAATGGTTGAGATCATCAGTCAACTGAAGCTAGACTACCATGGAAAACTTGGAAGAACTGAACGACTGTTTCGTCTTATTGTAGGACTTCTCAGCAGTGCGCATCCACCATCCCGCCTCCCGAAATTCGAACCCAGAACATATCAGTCTCACGTGCGAGCGCTTAACCAATAGACTAATGTAGTTTTTACTTACCAACCAGTTGCTTATTAACCTATTGTTCTTTTCTTTCAATTTTTTCTTCACATCTGTTTTGTTCTTTAATCTATTTTCCGATCATTTTATTCTTCCCTAATCTCTAGATCACTAAGTAACCTTATTATGTTCTTTGAAATCTTTGAATATTGTCATTGTATATTTTAATAGACTATTATAAATCTTAGATCACTAAGAGTTATTTCCAGTCGTTTTCAGTTGTTAGACATTCTTTCAATGTATGCCTTCAATTCCTGACATAGTGTGTTCTTCGACTTTCCTCTTTACCATTTACCGTCAAGATTGCAAGTTAGCACTTGTCTCGTGATGCAATTTGATGATTTCTGTAATGTTTGTCCTATTCACTTCCAATGTCTTTTCTTAATTACCTTTTCAAATGGAACCTGGTTTGTTCTCTCTACCAGTAGGCTGTTACTGATGGTATCTGGTCAACGGACATTGAATATCTTGTGTAGACAATTGTTTAGAAAGATTTGTACATTTTTTGATAATGTTTATAGTAGTGGTTTTTTAAGTTTCAGCTCCATTCAGCAGAACTGTCTTAATGTTCATATTAAAAATTCTGACTTTAATATTGGTTGACAGATTGTTGTTTTGGGTTCCATATATTCTTCAATTGTCGGAATGTGACCCTTAGACCATTTTCGAAACGAATATTGCCAACTGAATTGCCATTAGACCATTTAGGTCAATATAACGTTTTCTTTTTTGTGGCCTGGGATCTAACTCCAATTAGATCGTATGAATGATTTCTGTCGAAATAAATATATTCAAACATCCATTCTCGTATTTGACTTATTTTAATTTCG